GAACCCTCCACTTTAGGTGTATGTGGCTGGCACCTTAGCCACTTGAGCCACAGGTGCCGAGCCACATAAAGCGTTAGTAACGAAATGATGATATGAAGCCCTAACACCTTCAGACATGTGATTTCTGTTAGCTTTTTTTTTTTTTAAGAGACAGAATCTCACTTTATTGCCCTAGGTAGAGTGCCATGGCATCACAGATCACAGCAACCTCCAGCTTTTGGGCTTAGGCAATTCTCTTGCCTCAGCCTCCTGAGTAGTTGGGACTACAAGCTCCTGCCAGAACTCCCAGCTGTGTTTTTGTTGTTGTTGCAGTTTGGCCAGGGCTGGGTTTGAACCTGCCACTCTCAGTATATGGGGCCTGCGCCCTACCCACTGAGCCATGGGCACTGCCCTCTGTTAGTTTTAATACCAAGCCATTTAATACCAATGGCTTTTGGGTGGTGCCTCAGAGGACTCAAGGGTTCATGGAGCCCTGACCAGAAAAAATAGTGAGCTTTACCAACTCTTTTACTTTCTTTTTTTTTGAAACAGTGTCTCGCTTTGTCACCCTTGATAGAGTGCCGTGGTGACACAGCTCATAGCAACCTCTAACTCTTGGGCTCAAGCGATTCTCTTGCCTCAGTCTCCTAAGCATCTGGGAGTACAGGCACCCACCACAATGCCTGGCTGTTTTAGAGATGGGGGCCTTGCTCTGGCTCAGGCTGGTCTAGAACCTGTGAGCTCAGGCAATCCACCTGCCTCAGCCTCCCAGAGTGTTAGGAATACAGGCGTGAGCCACCTCATCTAGCCCCTTTTACTTTCTACATGAGAAAACTGAAGCCCAAAGAAGGTAGGTGGTGGGACCAAAGCAAAGACACAGTTAAGTGCCTAAGATAGCCCAGTGTTTGGACTTGCCCCTTTGTTAGCAGAAAAAATGGCCATGAGAACCTGGACTAGAATATGGGACTTTTTTTTTTTTGAGACAGAGTCTCACTTTGTCACCCTTGGTAGAGTGCTGTGGCATCACAGCCCACAGCAACCTCAAACTTTTGGGCTTAAGCGATTCTCTTGCCTCAGCCTCCCAAGTAGCTGGGACTATAGGCTCCCACCACAATGCCCAGCTAGTTTTGTTGTTGTTGCAGTTGTTGTTATTTTAGCAGGCCTGAACCAGGTTCGAACCTGCCTGCCTCAGTGTTTGTGACCAATGCCCTAACCAGCGCCAAGGCGGGGTGGGGTGGCGGGGGGAGGCTTTTTCTTATAGGGCAGAGACCGTAGGGTGTTTGGATCTTTCTCCCCACAGGACCTGGCACAATCCTTACACACTGTGAGCTCTTATTACATCCTCACTTAGGTAAGTTAGTTGCAGGGCAGAGTCTGAGAGGGTGGAAGCTTGTTGTAGGCTCAGGGAGCAGAATCCTAGGTAAGATTCTGCCTTGGGGAACCGGGGCAGCTAGTGTACAGATGGGGGAGGTGGTGGGGGTGGGGAAGGCATGCACCTGCAGGGAGGGAGCAAGAAAAGAGTGTGGAGCACCCACAGAAGCTACTTTCTGGGCCTTCCTCAGTTCTGAGTGGGCTAACCAGTGAGGGTTCATTTAGACCTCACTTTTGCAGCTCTTTGTATTCTTCTTTCAGTCTTGGACTTTGGGTAGGATTTCTCAGTGTTTGACTGAGCAAGTGCAATCCTGTCACACCCCTGCTAGATGTGGCTACCTGTTGCCCTCAGGGTACTGTGCACACTTGGCTGGCAAAGCCATTTATGATCTGCCCCCTACCAGGTTAATTTCCTTAACATATTCCTTTTCTTTTTTCCATTTTTATGACAGAGTCTCACACTGTTGCCTGGGCTAGAGTGTAGGGAGATCATCATAGCTCACTGAAACTTCAAACTCCTGGGCTCAAGCAGT